CCTCCCAGCTCGCTAACGTGATTTTCTATGAGCTTGAACTTTTCCTGCCTCTCGCTCTCCAGCTGGGAGATCAAAGCACTGACTTGAGATAAGCTGGTCTGCAGTTGCTCCCGCAGCTGAGACTCTGTGCTGGACCACTGGTGGTGCAGGGCGATGAGTGTCTCCTGATTGTGGCCGTGCTGGCTTTCCAGCTTCATGGTTACATCTTTGAGTTTCTCCTCTGTAATGTAAAGTTTGGTTTCCAGGGAGTGGATGATTGAGAGATAGGTCTCAGAGTCGCTCGTACCCGCCGAGGGGTAACCAAGAGCTGGCTCTGAGGACATGCTTTCCTCAGACAGTGATCTGTCTTGGCTCGTGTCTGAGGACGTGCTGCTTGTCCAGTTTTTCTCTGATCCGTCTGGGTGGATGTATTTTTGGCACTGGATGCTTGAGAAACGGATTCTTTGCCTCTTGGCCCCCATGATTCCTAGATCAGGCTTTGCTAAGGCTTTCTGAACCATCTCTTGGTCCTGGAGCTCTACAGCTTTGGATGGGGAGCCAAATTCCTCCACTTGCCTCTGAGCGGTCTCGAGAACCTCATCCTCCTCCTCCTTCAGTGCGTAAGTCAGAGCTGGGAGGACATCCTGAGCTTGCAGAGCCTGCCCCAGTTGAGACGGATGACTTTCATCAGCCTCGAGACTGGGGGCAAGGTCTTCCAACTCCTCAGCGTGTGGACCTGTGCCTACACTAGCTAATTTCTTCAAAGCCTCCTCCTTGGCCTTCAGCTTTACTTTAGTCTCCTCTAAACTGCTATCTAAAGCAACCATTTTAACAAACGCCTCACTGAGATCTTGATCCTTCTTCTCCACAATTCGCAAGTGCATTTCCTTAACGTGTCTCAGCTCTTCTTCCTTTTCTTTCAGCACCTTCTGCACACCCTGGAACTGATCCGACACCTCCTCAAACGACTGCTCCAGATTGTGGTAGTTGGTCTCTTCCATTTTCAACTTTGCTTGCAGCTTTGCAACTTCGTTATCTGACTCGGCAACCTGGTTCATGAGCTCGTGGAACCGACACTTGATCTGATCTCTCTCTCTTTCGAGCTCCTCGATGTGATCTGCGAGTTTCTGGATGCTGGCCTCCTTCACTGCCAGCTGCTCCTCCAGCTGGTGGACCAGCTCGCTGCCTTCAAACTTTGCGCTCAGCTTCTCCTTCTGCAGGATCTCCATTTGCTGCTCGCTGTTTTGCAGCTGGTTCTCATACTCGTTGGCCTTATCCTCCACCTCCTTCAGACTCCGTATCAGAACCTGCTTTTCCCTCTCGCAGCTCTCCAGCAACGCCTCATAATTCTTCTGCAGCTTCTCCTCCATGAGGATCCGCGCTTGCTCGCTGGCGTTCAGCTGCCTGCTCAGGTCGGAGATCCTGTCCTGGAGCCGCTGCACCTCCTTCTGATGGTCCCTCTGCAAAGCCTGCTGCATCTCCAGGTCCCGCAGCTCCTGGGTCTTCTCCAGGAGCAGAGCCTCCGCGGCCTTCAGCTTCTGCTCGCTGGCCTTCAGCTGGGAGCTGAGCGCGGCCTCGCCGTGCTGCCACTCCTCCAGCTGCTCCTTGGCCTTCTCCTTTTCGCTCCTCAGGTCGCTCTTGAGCTTGGCCAGGGTCTGCTCCTTGATGGAGAGCTCGGCCGCGGCGTTGCTGAGCCTCGCCTGCAGGCTCTGAATCTCGGCTTCGTGGTGCCGGATCACGTCCTTGGCCTCGGCGTAGCTGCGCTTCAGCGACTGAATCTGCTGATTGATCAGCTCTTGACGCTGGCATTGGGCTTCCAGCTCGTTTTGGAGGTCTTGGTTGACTTTGTGGAGCCTCTGCCAGGCACCTGATGGCGAGGCGGCCACCTCGGTCTTAAAAAAATCGATTAAATACTAGATTAGTAACACTCTTGGCTCTCCCTCCTGAGTGTCACACCTCTGGCCAGGCAGGCCACGGAAAAGTTCCTCGCAGTGATTTGGCTGCCACCCACATGCTCCAATTGGGATGATTTGTTCTTGGCACAATTTATTTTTTTTTGTTTGTTTTAACCAACATTTTGTTTTGTTTTGTTTTGTTTTTTGGAATGAGCGACAACTGCTTTCCAGTAACAGAAAACATGGACCACAACATCAAAACAGCTGTACAGTAACAGGCTAAAAGGAAAAAAATAACCAAACCAAAATCAAATAGAACCAAAAAAACAATGGAAAAGAAACACCAGCAGTAAAACAGAGACAGACAGACAAGAGAAAAATGGGAAGGGTGAGAAGGAGGAGGGGATGGGAACAGGTTGAGAAGAAAGGAATTGCTTTTTTAGCACGTTTGTTCGTTTTGTGGTGAAACAAAAAGTGCACAGTTCAGGTAACACAGTCCTACCAACCAAAAGCAACAACAGAGAGTGAGGTGACAGCAAATGACATCCCATCCCATCCAAAGGCAGGGAGACAGGACGGCCGGCGTGGTGATGTCATTTCTGTGCCTGCCAAAGAGGACTTAGTGGCTGCTCATCGCATTAAAGAGATGTTGTTATGCTAAAGTTTAAGACTAGGGAGGATCTAATTTCTCTACCTGCAAAAACAAAAAACCAAAACCAACAACAAAGGACAAAATAAAAAGCCCGACAAGTGAAGGGAGGGAAAAGGTGTGATGAGAACGTAAAATAAAAGAAACCAACCTTTGTGAGATTCAAACCAAAGCAATGTAGCATGCAAAGAGAAAACTCACAGAAAGCGTCATGCAAAAGGCGACAGAAATTATGTATCTTTAAAAACAAAATACACAGACAGGAAGAGGCGAGAGAAGCACAGCGTTAAGCCTAGGAATTTGGCCTGCCTTGCTGTACTCTGGTTGCTGATAAGGAAAGCCCACAGATGTGACACTCAGTTATGTTAAGTTAAATTTCATGCTTTACACCAAAAACATGCAAGAACATCCGCCCGGGACAGGTTAGTACGTGCCCCTTCCCACCCGCCGGGACCGGAGCTGGCAGAAGTCTCCGGCCCACTTGTGAGGAGCAGGAGCCCCTCTTCTTTCCCCCAGTAGGGTTCCAAGTTGGGGTGCCCCATCCCGAGGAAGCTCAGAGTGAGAGAGGGGTTACCCGAGGCCGGAGAGGCTTCGGTGCACAGCACATGCATGGGGGTGGGTATCTCAGTGGCTGCCCTCTGTTATGCCAGGGCAGCGCTTGGGGGTCTGTACAGGGCTGCTGTCCCCTGGGCAGCTCAGGAGGGATGGGCTGGCAGCAGTCAGGCTCCTCCATCGTCCCTCCCCACAGACAATGTAAGAAGCTCTCCAAAATTAAGCGTGATGGAGGTGAGGGGCACAGGAAATTCAGAGTCTGTCCAAAAAACCACTGTGATGTTTGGCTGCAGTCTGGGGCTGCAGAACTCCCCTCAAGCAATTCCACTCCCTCCAGCCCAGCAGGGTTTGCTGGGGTTACTCCCTTCTGCAAGAGGATTTTAATCCCTCTGCTCACAGGGAAACAGAAGGGAAATCCCCAGAACAATTAGACTGGAGGAAGCAAAAGCCTCCAAGCCTTCCAAAAACCCTTTCCAACTTCTAGATCAAAGTTTGGGTCACTTCTCACTGCAGTAATGATTTGCTCAACCCTTCTGCAGACTTCCTCCCTTGCTCCCCCTCCTTGTATCAAGGCACTATGGCCAACTTCAACATGGGCAGTCTGACGGTGGATTCAGCATCCAGTCTTTAGCCCAATTCCCTGATTTTTCCAGGCTCCAGGCAAAGGGAGGTCAGATCCTTTTGCCCCAGGGAAGTAGGAGTCAGTTACTCTTCCAACACTGCCAAGTGAAAATGGAACTCCTCCAAGCAAGCACTGTCAGCTCGAGGACTCCAGAAATAAATGCCTTAATAACTCCTCCAAGGAGATCACCAGTAAGGAAGGCAAGATGCCCCCCTGCCTGGGCTGGCTCCACTGCCTGTGCAACTCCTCCAGGGGAAACTCCTCCCGTGAGAAATAAGGACGCAAGGTTCAGCATCGACAGCTCGGATCTGCTGCCACGGGAGCAGAGCATGTGGGCCAGTTGGCCACACCCAGCCACTCTGATCCAGAGCCAGTTTGGCCAAAAAGATCTGAGCAGGTCAAAATGCTGCCCCTGCACAAAACAAGACTAGGGACCCATGAGAGCAGCCAGAAGCTGCCCTGCAGGTGCCACAGCTCCTCTGGGCATGGACATTCCCAGAGGAAGAGCTGGAAAAAGCCTGCTTTGTTTGGAGGAGGGAAGAAAAGGCTTCTCAAGACCCTCTTGTATCTTTTGCCAGAACCTCCAAAACATACTTAAAGGCTTTGCTGAGGAAAGGCATCTCGTAAAACCACAAAAGTGATCCAAGACAACAGGTTGTCCCAGCACAAGTCCCAGTCTGGCTGTGGGAACAGGCCTGGGAGATAAGCCTGCGTGTGCTGTGTTTGCCCATGTAACCACCACACAAACTCCCCAGCCAGGAGCCACTGCTGGCCTGCAAGGTCCTTACAAAGCCTTACGTGCACCCCGTGGCCTGAGGGGAACATCTGGGGCACAGAAAGGAGGAAACAGCAGCTGCATAGGCAAACACAGTGTAGGATGGATCAGAGGTGGGCTGTGCTGAGGTCCCACCTGTCTACCATGGCTGTGTTTTGTTTTCCCTCGGGGACGCT